AAACGTGCAGGTTTCCAGGTTTTCAAAATGTGCAGGTTTCCAGGTTTGGACCCCCCAAAATGTTGACGTTTCCAGGTTTCAAAACGAGCAGGTTTCCAGGTTTGGACCTGCAGGTTTCCAGGTTTGGACCCTCCAAAACGTTGACGTTTCCAGGTTTGGACCCCCCAAAACATGCAAACACCTGCACGTTTGGGAGGGTCCAAACCTGCAAACGTGCACGTTTTGGGGGTCCAAACCTGGAAACCTGCTTTTGGGGGTCCAAACCTGGAAACCTGCACGTTTTAAGGGGCTCAAACCTGGAAACGTCAACGTTTTGGGGGTCCAAACCTGGAAACCTGCACGTTTGGGGGGTCCAAACCTGGAAACTTGCACATTTTGGGGGGCCAAACCTGGAAACGTCAACGTATTGGGGGGTCCAAACCTGGAAACTTGCACGTTTTGGAAACTTGCACGTTTTGGGAGGTCCAAACCTCGAAACCTGCACGTTTTGGGAGGTCCAAACCTGGAAACTTGCACGTTTGGGGGGGGGTCCAAACCTGGAAACTTGCGCATTTTGGGAGGTCCAAACCTGGAAACCTGCACGTTTGGGGGTCCAAACCACGTTTTGGGAGGTCTAAACCTGAAACCCGCACGTTTGGGTCCAAACCTGGAAACTTGCACGTTTTGCCTGCGCGTTTTGGCAGGTCCAAACCTGGAAACCTGCCCTGCGTACCCCGAAATAGTAGAAAGTTTAGGTGATGGAATTATTTTTCTGGCCCGCGAGACCATGCAATATAGGTTTAAGGACCTCGAAACCTCGACAAAGCCTCTTCACTCCAATCGTGACAGAAATGTTTGGGCTCTGTGCACATCTCCAATGATGAGTTTGAAGGGGCCAAAATTTGATTCTAGGCTGAAAATCCGGATAGAAACCATGATATCTTGAAACTTTGCACCTCCAAGACCCTTCAATTTTGGAGGGTTAACCGAGAACCGAGTCATGTTTTTGCGACAGTTTGATTGTTTCAAAACAAGTTTGGCGGGATCCAAACCTTTCAGTACCATGCTCTATTTGACTTGGGCTCCTGGCCGAGACCGGTTCGCTGTCGAAACGGTTCCGGTTTTCGGTTCCCTTGCGGTTCACGGTTCCTACGGTTCGTGTTTGCTGGCCGGTTTTGGCGGTTCGGTTCGTGGCGGTTCGGTTCGTGCGGTTCCGGTTCGGTTCCAGAACCTTCCTGATTAAGGTAAATTTGGTTTAGGGGCTTAGGTGTTTAGGGTTTAGGGTTTAAGAGTTTTTAGAGGTTTAGGGGTTTAGGGGTTTTGTATAGGAGTAAGGTATGTTGGGTTTAGGGGTTTAGGGCGTTTAGGGGTTCAGGGTTGGGCAGTTGTTTCTTGAGCGGTTTAGGGGTCAGGGTGTAGGGATGAACCGCTTTAAGACTTTGAGGGTAAAGATGTTAGGGTTTAGGGTTTTAGGGTTTAGGGGTTTGGGGGGTTTAGGGTTTTAGGGTTTCGGGGTTTGGGTGGTTTAGGGGTTCAGGGGTTTGGGGATTTAGGGTTTAGGGTTTAGGGTTTAGGGTTTAGGGTTTAGGGCATTCGGTTTAGGGTTTCTGGTTCTGGCATGGGACGAGGGCAGCCGGCATTCGTGTCGCCTGCAACCTGAGAGTGTGAAATTCATCGCTGCCAGAGCACCCCTAAACCCTAAACCCTGAACCCTGAACCCTGAACTCTGAGTCCTCCGAAGAGAGCACCCTAAACCCTGAACCATGCATCCCTAAACCCCCCCCTTCCCCCCCCGCCGGGCCAAAACAGAACCCAAACCCCCACAACCCTTAAACAACCCAAAAACCCTAAGCCCCTAGACCCTCAAAGCCGAAACCCCCTAAACCCCAAACCCCAAACCCCTACACCCTTAACCCTTAACCCCAAGCTCTCAACGCAGGCTCTTCGCGCCAACGGAGCAGCGGAGCACCTGCGCTGGACACCACGCTGCAACCTGAGGTTTAGGGTTTAGGACTTAGGGCTTTTCAGGGTTTAGGGTTTGGGGTTCAGGTTTAGGGTTCGGGTCTTAGGGTTTAGGCAAGAAGGGATTTGTCGCCACGGTGTGCCATGCTTGGGCTTCCCTGCAATCACCCAACACATGTTAAACGCAAACCTTCGTAGGACCCAGGGCACGGGCCTTATGTGTTTTTTGGTTTTTACTTCTATCTTATGACCCAATTATGATCGCATCAGGGTACTTCAGGGGAACGCTAACCTTTCCTTAGGGATACTTGTGAATGTTTTTTTTTCAATCATTGAGTACTATAACTCCTAAGAAATAGCTAAACTTACATTTTTGGGGTTCCAAGGTCAGTATAGTTCCAAGGACCCAAGGCAGGCCCGTATTCCCTTTTTATGGGGTGTATAGCTTCCTACAACCAAAAATGGCTCGCTTGTCATTTCTGGGTCGCTCTTGTGAATAGTTTCTGACTCGGAAATAGCAAGTGAGCAGCGATCAACCCTGAACGCCCTAAGCCCTAAACCCTAAACCCTAAACCCTAAACCCTAAACCCTAAACCCCCTCAAATCACAAGCGACCTGCCAGCGATGATCAAGGGTTTCCTCTCGGCGACATGGAGGCAGCGATGCAAGAGGCCAAAGTCTGGCAGCAAAAGGCGGGCGTGTTGGACCACTCCACTGCCCTTTCTTGCTTCTGCAATGAAAGCCTGGTACCGGAGCGATTGCGATGCTGGAAAGGGCATCCGCGTCCGAGGACCACAAGCGTACGAAGGTTGTCCAAGCTGAAATGGAAGGGAACACGATTCCATGGGACTTCTGGTCGCCGCGTGCTCATCGAGGCCCGACCTGTTGCCGAGTCTCTTGGCTAGAGAACCTAACCTATAATGGATACCATGCATTACCCTTCAAACCCTCACAAACCCTCATAAACCCTAAAACCCACCCTCCCAAAACACGCAAAACCCGACACCCTAAATCTCCTTAAGACAAAAACCAACCTAAGAGCCGCAAATGGGTCTGCTTTCGCCTCGAATGTTCACGAGCCACCCTGCACCCCGCAACACCTCACATGGAAGGTTCACCAGTCCACTTTGTTGGACTGTGACCTGGAGGCCGAAGTTGGGGAGGGGTGGCACCGGTCACTGCGTTTCTGCCGACGGAAGTTGCATGCTGAACTCTGCCTTCCAGGCTCGACAAGACCGTGCACGTAATCATTACGTACGCTAGGGCTGCTAATGTGAAGCAGCTGTACGGCAAATTGGGCGGTGGATTGACAGTGCCCGAATGTCTGCCCAGGTTTACAGTAGCTTGAATGATTATTTATTCTAGATTCTATTCCTGTGTAATCTCCGCTATACCTCGAACACACCTCAGATCTCGATTCTGCAGCTCCGCTAGAGAGGTACTCATCAGGTAGGCTCTTCAAGGGAGTTGCGCTCATGATGCCACGCCTGTCGTATTAAGACAAGCGTCACAAGCGCATGTAACAATCCTGAGTCGCTTTCCATGCTGATCTTCATAAGCTCATTATTCCGAAGCGCCAGGGTGTCATGAGGCCCTTCCAAAGCCTGAAGGAGGCGAGGGCGAACGACGTTGCAACGAGTGCAAATGAGATGAAGCCTTATACCCAAGATACATGCAGCTTCATGGATGACCGCTCGCATACGGATGCTCTTGAGGGCTGAGTTGATTCTGCGGGGAGAGGCTGACATGGGATTCCATGGGGCTGGGAATCGGAGTTTCGAACCCGGTGGCCCGAATCTCTTCATTCATGCCGAGAGTCCAGATGAAAAGCGACTCGAAGGTGGGAAGGTTGCCGTCTGATGTGACTTCAATGGATCTCCCCGTGGAGGCGCTCTGTTCGGCCGCGGCCCCGACGGATCTGATCTGTCCAATTTCTTTTCCGAGGCCCCTCAAGCAGAGATCTTGCTTCCCGGGACGCGCGTCAATCTCCGTCAAGGGTAGGCCATGCTGTCTCAGGACTTTGAGCCAGATACACGCTCGCCAGGTGTTCATGAACAGGAATGCGCTTGTGGACTGGATTCATGAGAAGGCCAGCTGGGCAGCCACTTTTGCACAGCACGTGCGGACGTGCGGGTGTTGCCCTTGCATTCCACAGCCAGTTTTCGATTCTGTATGTCAGGTTTGTAGAGGTTTAGGAGCCCGTGCATGTCGCAGGTCGGGCTTTAGAGTGCAGCGCGCGAGCTAGGGCCTGTGGGCCTAGATCCGGACACAGCATCCTGTTCTTTGCCGTTTGCCCGTTTGCGTCCAGGGGTACGCTCTAGCTTCTCAGGACGCCGTGCCTCTTCAACTTCACACATGGATTGTCCTGTAAAGGACCTTCTCTGACACTCCACAGGGAGGGAAGGTACCGCAACACTGTAACAGGTACAACACCTGTTACAACACCTGTGCCAGAGCCGTGAGACTTCGAGCCAACACTGCCTCGAATCCAGCCCTTTGGACATTTGTTGTGCAGCACATCATAGGCATTTGAGACATAGTGAACGGCGATACTGGCCAGACGTGTGTTGCGTGCAAAGCTTGCTTCAAAGCATATGAACCCTTACCAAACCCATCGTGCGAGCATTGTGTCTGTGCTTGCCCCCCCCCCCATCCCTAAACCCGCCCGCTTCTTTAAACCCATGATACGAGCCTTGCGTTTGCACATGAGGGGGCAACACAATCAACAAACCTCCACAGCCAGAAAAATGCGCAGGCCTCCACAAAAAACAAACGTGCCCGGCCTCCGCAGAACAAAAATGCGACAGACCTCCAAAGAACAAAAAAGAGCCAAAAAAGAGCGCCAGACCACAGCAAAACAGAACACGCGTGAGACATCCCCAGCAAAAACAACTCGCATGGCCTCCACAGACCAACAGAAACGCTCCCGGCCTCCGCAGCAGAAAAAACGTGCCAGGCCTCCACAGCAAAGAAGAAAGCGCCCAGCCTCCACAGGAATGACAAAAAACAACTTCAGACCTTTGCGGCGCCAAGTATAAGTACAGTGCTCCAGCTGACGAATGGATCCGTTCAGCGCTTGCCTGGCGGCAGGCCGCATTCCAGCTGTGGCATTTTCGCGCCGATGTGTTGCAACATGTTCCAACGAAGCTGCTGTGTTCAGACGTTTAAGCAATGGTCAGGAGTCGCTCTGGGCAGCAGCGGTGCTGCCCCAGCAGGTGGTGCAGGTGCCTTTGCGGCTGCTGCAGCTGCCTGGCCTAAGATGGCCCGTGAATGTCTCTGGCGGCTTCTTGACCCTAGCAGCAGAGCTTCGTAAAGTTTGCAGCAGTTTGAATGCAGAGGTCCTGCAGTTGACCTTTCCGGCCATTGCGATCGTCACAAAGCTCGCGATCACAGCATGGCAGGAGCGGTGTCCGCACAAAGGTCATTGAAGGTCAGTGTCCAAGAGTGTAGGCAGCCAGCGCTGCCAGGGCCAGAACAATGCAAATCAAGAGTTCGTACGCGTGCGAGCGTATGAGTTTGTAGTGTTTTGTAGTTGCTTACGTCGCGGTGCACTGGGAAGGAATTGAGAGCAATTCGCCTGAGCCGGAGCGTCCAACGCCGGTTGAGCTGAGCAGGAGGTTGGAGATGCCTTATTCACTTCCATGCAGCAGTAGTGGGACCCCTTGCAAGGGGCTGAGTTCTCGGTAAGATACACAGGACGAAGAAGCGGGTTCAGAAACACTGGCTGAAGCTCCTGCATCCTGGCTGCACACTTGCAAGAGTGGTGGGCCTTTGCTTTGGGCTCTTCGAGCTTGAGATAACTTGAGGCGAAGACAAACTTGTCAGACAACCCCCGTGGCCGCTCGGTTGATGTGCGTTTTCCACCCTGCTCGTCAGATGCCTGACATGCTGAGGGCAACATGCCGCCCGTGAGGAACCGACAAAAGCACCCTCTTCGTTCGCCCTGCAGTCTTGAGTCTCAGGCCTCCAAGCCGTGCAGTCTCGAGTCTCGGACCTCCAGGCCCCTGCAGTCTTCCAAGCCCTGCAGTCTCGAGTCTCGGAGTCTGTCTTTAGTCTCAGGGTTTCAAGCCCTGCAGTGTCGAGTCTCGGGCCTCCAGGCCCCGGGTCCCTCTTTGGGTCCCCCCAAAAGGGCGGCACCCTTATAGTGAAGACCCCTAAAAGGGACCCTAATTTCAACAACTACCCACAACAAGGATCACTGCCCAATAAAAACCCTAAGCCCTAAACCCCCTTGCATTAAGGAATGTCCCTTAAATCAGATTAAGAACCCCTGGTATATTCCTGAGTACCCAAAATCAACCGAAGAGCGGGGTTTAGGGTTTAGGGCCTTTAGGGTTTAAGGTTTAGGGTTTAGGGTTTAGGGTTCAGGGTTTAGGGTTTAGGGCGAAGCCCTCCGTGCTGCGCAGGATTCTCTCCGAAACCCTGGGAGCCAAGAAGGCCAGGATCTGGCAAAGAGCGCCACTGGTGAGGTTGGCGGTCTTGGAGTTTAGGGTTTAGGGTTTAGGGTTTAGGGTTTAGGGTTTAGGGTTTAGGGTTTAGGGTTTACCCCCAAACGGTAAATAAACCAACTCCCCAAACCCTAAACCCTTATGAGTCTTGAGCATCCTAAACCCTAAACCGTAAAGCCCAAAGCCCCAAGCTTTGGAAAGCCCTTAAGCAAAGGTCATGAATGAGAAAGGAGTATTTGGTGCCCCCTAAGGGTCCGAAGTATCTGCGCACATGCCAGTTCTGTAAGCCCCAAGCGCTGCACACTAAGCCCTAAACCCTAAACCCTAATGAGCGCCTAAGCCCTACACCCCAAAACCCTAAACCCTAAACCCTGATCAAAGCACGCACGGTGGTCCCAGAGGAGGGGAGGCCGCCACTCTCGGAAGTGCAGGACGCATGGTGGCCTTAACATGTCCCATGCAGGAAGATGGGGGCAGTGCCATCTGGGAGTGACTGCGGAGTCACTTCAACCAAGGCAGCGAATCCCACTGCAAGTTCCGAAGCGCAGCCCCAAAGTCGGTTTGGGGTTTAGGGTTTAGGGTTTAGGGTTTAGGATTTAGGGTTCAGGGTTTAGGGTTTAGGGCTTAGGGTCATGTTTCATTGCTTCAGTGCTTGCTCATTTGCTGCAAGAGCGGAGGGTGCTTTTCGTGAAACCACCCTGCTTGCGGCCGAGCCCCCGCCGTGCCTCACTCAAATCGTGGTCGTGGTGACCGGTCGCGGCGCTCCATTTACTACCCATGATGGGACAAGGCTCTAAGTAGCAGCTTTAGACCCAAAGTAGGTGTAAACCCGTATACTCAGAACTAGAACCCGGACAAACCCTAAACCCCTACAAGCCCTGCAAACCCCAAAGCCCTCTAACTGCCCTAAACCCTAGAACCTGTAGAATGAGGGGTTCAGCTTACTTCTTCGGCCTCTGGAAATAGCGGCTCAGACGGGCCCTACCCCCGTGAGTCCTAAACTCCTAAACCCAAAACCTTAACACTGCAAAAATGACACCAACCCCTCATCCCTAAACCTTAAAGCCCTAAACCTTAAAAAACTAAATCCCAAACCTTTAAAGTAAAACCTTAAAGCGCTAACCCTTAGACGCTTGCCCCCAAGCTTAAAGCCTTAAACCTTATAACACCCTTAAATCCCTAAACCTTATCGACATCTTCGGTCCAAACCTTAAAGCCTTCGGTCCCTAAACCCCCTGGTTCTTAGAAGGGAATGAGGGAATTAGGGCCCTACATATATATATATATGTACATATGTATATACCCTTTTTAAGGGATTCTATAGGTTCCCTTTAAGGGATTCTATAGGGTCCCCGACGAAGAACCAGCCAGTACGCCCGCTGCGCAGGCCTTCGAGAGCCGGCGTGTTGAGCTGTCTCGCCGGGGTGAAGGCGCAGAGGCAGACCCCGGAGAAGGGGTTCAGGGTTCAGGGTTCAGGGTTTGGGGTTTAGGGTTTAGGGTTTAGGGTTTAGGGTTCAGGGTTCAGGGTTCAGGGTTTAGGGTTTAGGGTTCAGGGTTCAGGGTTCAGGGTTTGGGGTTTAGGGTTTTTTAGGGTTTAGGGGTTTAGGGTTCAGGGTTCAGGTTTCAGGGTTTAGGGTAGGGTTCAGGGTTCAGGTTCCAGGGTTTGTGGTTTAGGGTTTAGGGTTCAGTGTTCAGGTTTTAAGGTTCAGGGTTTCAGGGTTCAGGTTTTAGGGTTTAGGGGTTCGGGTCAGGGTTTCAGGGTTAGGGTTTAGGGTTTAGGGTTAGGGTTTGGGGTTTAGGGTTTAGGGTTTTAGTTTAGGGTTCAGGTTCAGGGTTTCAGGGTTTAGGAGTTTAGGTTTCAGGTTCAGGGTTCAGGTTTGGGGTTAGGGTTTAGGTTGGGTTTAGGGTTTAGGTTCCGGGTTCAGGGTCTCCAGGGTTCAGGGTTTAGGGCAGGTTCACCAGGTTCAAGGGGTTTAGGTTTTAGGGGGGGGGTTAGGGTTTCACGGGTCAGGGTTTGGGGTTTAGGTTTAGGGTTTAGGGTTTAGGGTTCAGGGTTCAGGGTTCAGGGTTTAGCGGGTTTTAGGTTAAGGTTCAGGGTTCAGGGTTTTTTTTTTTTTTTCAGGGTTTTGGGTTTAGGTTTTAGGGTTTAGGGTTAGTTCAGGTTCGGTTCAGGGTTTAGGGTTTAAGGGGTTCAGGGTTCAGGTTCAGGTTTGGGGTTTAGGGTTTAGGGTTCAGGGTTGGGGTTAGGGTTAAGGGTTTAGGGTTTAGGGTTCAGGGTTCAGGGTTTAGGGGTTCAGGGATCAGGTTTCAGGGTTCAGGGTTCAGGGTCAGGGTGGGGGTTCAGGGTTCAGGGTTCAGGGTCAGGGGGTTTTCCGGGTGGGGTTTAGGGTTTAGGGTTTAGGGTTCAGGGTCAGGGTTTTAGGGTTTAGGGTTGGGTTTTAGGGGGTTAGGGTTCAGGTTCAGGGTTGGGGGTTTAGGGGTTCAGGGTTCAGGGTTCAGGGTTTAGGGTTTAGGGTTTAGGGTTCAGGGTTCAGGGTTCAGGTTTGGGTTTAGCGGGGTTTAGGGTTTTTTGGGTTTAGGGGGTTAGGGGTTCAGGGTTCAGGGTCAGGGTTCAGGGTTCAGGGTTTGGGGTTAGGGTTTAGGGTGCAGGGGTCAGGGTCAGGGTTGGGTGTAGGTTTAGGGTTTAGGGTTTCAGGTTTCATTTCAGGTTTGGGGTTTAGGGTTTGGGTTCCGGGGTTTAGGGTTCAAGGGTTTTCGGGTTTTCGGGGTGTTAGGGGGTTTTAGGGTGCAGGGTTCAGGTTCAGGGTTTGGGGTTTAGGGTTTAGGGTTCAGTTTAGGTTCAGGGTCAGGGTTTTAGGGGTAGGGTTCAGGGGTTCAGGGTTCAGGGTTTAGGGTTAGGGTTTCAGGGTTTCAGGGTTCAGGTTCAGGGTGGGGTTTGGGTTTAGGGTTTAGGGTTCAGGGTTCAGGGTTCAGGGTTGGGGTTAGGGTTCAGGGTTTGGGGTTCAGGGTTCAGGGTTCAGGGTTCAGGGTTCCTGGGGTTTAGGGTTTAGGGTTTAGGGTTCAGGTTTCAGGTTCAGGGTTTGGGTTTAGGTTCAGGTTTTGGGGTTCAAGGGTTCAGGGTTTCAGGGTTTGGGGTTTAGGGTTTGGGTTTATGTTCAGGGTTCAGGGTTCAGGTTAGGGTTTTGGGGTTTAGGTTTAGGGTTTAGGGTTCAGGTTTCAGGGTGTTTAGGGTTTAGGTTAGGGTTTAGGGTTGAGGGTTTAGGTTCAGGTTTCAGGGTTCAGGGTTTTGGGGGTTTAGGGGGTTCAGGTTCAGGTTTTGGGGTTTAGGGTTTATGGTTTAGGGTTTAGGGTTCAGGTTCAGGGTTCAGGGTTAGGGGTTTTCAGGGTTCAGGTTTCCGGTTTAGGGTTTAGGGTTAGGGTCAGGTTCAGGGTTCAGGGGTTAGGGTTTAGGGTTAGGGTTCAGGGTTCAGGGTTTGGGGTTAGGGTCCGGGTTCAGGGTTTTGGGTTTAGGGTTTAGGGTTTAGGGTTAGGGTTAGGGTTTTTCAGGGTTCAGGGTTTAGGGTTTAGGGTTCAGGGTTTGGGGTTAGGGTTTCAGGGTCAAGGGTTTTGTCGGGTTTAGGGTTTGGGTTTAGGTTCAGGGTCAGGGTTCAGGTTTAAGGGTTTGGGGTTCAGGGTTCAGGGTCAGGGTTCAGGGTTGGGGTTGGGGTTTAGGGTTTCAGGGGTAGGGTTTTAGGTTTAGGGTTCAGGGTTCAGGGTTTCAGGGTTTAGGGTTTAGGGGGTTCAGGGTTCAGGGTTCAGTGTTTGGGGGGTTTTTTTCAGGGTTAGGTTTGGGGGTTTAGGGTTCAGGTTTGGGGTTAGGGTTCAGGGTTTTCAGGGTTTGGGGTTTTTGGGGTTTTTAGGGTTAGGGTTAGGGTCCGGGTTCAGGTTCAGGGGAGGGTTCAGGGTTCAGGGTTTAGGGTTTTTGGGTTTAGGGTTTCAGGGTTTAGGGTTTAGGGTTCAGGGTTTCAGGGTTTCAGGGTTTAGGGTTTGGGGTTTGAGGGTTTGGTTTAGGGTTTAGGGTTCAGGGTTTCAGGGTTTGGGGTTTAGGGTTTAGGTTTTTAGGGTTCAGGGTTCAGGGTTTTTGGGGTTTGGGTTAGGGTTAGGGTTTAGGGTTTAGTGGTTCGGGTCAGGGTTTGGGGTTTAGGGTTTAGGGTTTAGGGTTAGGTTGGGGTTTGGGTTTAGGGTTTCAGGGTTCAGGGTTGGGGTTTGGGTTTAGGGTTTAGGGTTCAGGGTTCAGGTTGGGGGTTAGGGTTAGGGTTTAGGGTCAGGGTTCAGGGTTTAGGGTTAGGGTTTAGGGTTAGGGTTTTGGGTTTAGGGTTTAGGGTTTAGGGTTAGGGTTTTAGGGTTTAGGGTTCAGGGGTTCAGGGTCAAGGTTTGGGGTTTGTTCAGGGTTGGGTTCAGGGTCAGGTTAGGGTTTGGGTAGGGTTTAGGGTTAGGGTCAGGGTTCAGGGTTTCAGGGTTCAGGGTTCAGGGTCAGGGTTTTAGGGTTTAGGGTTTAAGGTTTCAGGTTTCGGGTTTCAGGGTTTTGGGTTTAGGGTTTTAGGTTTTAGTGTTCAGGGTTTAGGGTTTAGGGTTTAGGGTTCAGGGTTCAGGGTTCAGGGTTAGGGTAGGTTTCGGTTAAGGGTGCAGGGTTCAGGTTTTTGGGGTTTAGGGGTAGGGGTTCAGGGTTTGGGGTTTATGGGTTAGGGTTCATGGTTTGGGGTTCAGGTTCAGGGTTTGGGGTTTGGGGTTTAGGGTGTTTGGTTTAGGGTTCAGGGTTCAGGGTTCAGGGTTCAGGGTTCAGGGTTTGGGGTTTAGGGTTTAGGGTTTAGGGTTCAGGGTTTGGGGTTTAGGGTTTAGGGTTTAGGGTTCAGGGTTTCAGGGTTTGGGGTTTAGGGTTTAGGGTTTAGGGTTCAGGGTTCAGGGTTTGGGGTTTAGGGTTTAGGGTTCAGGGTTCAGGGTTTGGGGTTTAGGGTTTAGGGTTCAGGGTTTGGGGTTCAGGGTTTACAGGGTTTGGGGTTTGGGGTTTAGGGTTTAGGGTTTAGGGTTCAGGGTTCAGGGTTCAGGGTTCAGGGTTTGGGGTTTAGGGTTTAGGGTTCAGGGTTCAGGGTTCAGGGTTCAGGGTTCAGGGTTTGGGGTTTAGGGTTTAGGGTTTAGGGTTTAGGGACTAGGGTTTATGGATTGCTTGCTTTTGACTTACTAAGTAGGGTTAGGAAGGTGGGTTTGTGGGACAGCAAAAAAGGTTTGTAGGGGTTACTAAGTAGACATGCTGAGTCAAAGGAGCTTCCAAGCAGCTTTTTTTTTCCGGGGAGCTCAAGTCAGGGTTCAGGATTCTGGGATTAGCGGGTTTAGGGTTTCGGGTTCAGGGTTTAGGGTTTAGGGTTTAGGGTCTAGGTTTAGGGTTCAGGAGTTTTGGGCTCAGGGTCCAGCGAGGATTTTGGGATGAGGGTACCTTTTTTTTTCTATGGGCCCTTCGTAAGAAATGTGGCATTGATTCCCTTGTGAAGGGGAGCAGAATTGGGCTTTCGGGTGACCTAAACACAAACTACTATTTGCCTAAGAACCCCAAACAAATTCAATAATAATCCCTACATTACCCTTCGGACCCTTCTGAGGAAGACTATTTTTTGTTTTTGAAGGGGGGGCGGGGTTTAAGTCATTCGTAGCTAAACCAACCTACACCCTAAACCCTAAACCCTAAACCCTAAACCCTAAACCCTAAACCCTAAACCCTAAACCCTAAACCCTAAACCCTAAACCCTAAACCCTAAACCTACAGAAGCTGGCCCGAAGCATGGCTCAACCAGGACGACGACGTCGTCCGCAGCTTTGCCACCAGCTCAGGGGTTTAGGGTTTAGGGTTTCGGGTTAGGGTTCGGGGTTTGGGGTGTAGGGTTTAGGGTTTAGGGTTTAGGGTTAGGAGAGCAAGCTCGGGCTGGAGTTATAAGCTGCACGAAGTAGTCTGCTTCGGGTTTTTGAAGTACCTGAACGATATGGTGAGCTCTCTAAATTAGGGTACCTTTTTTTGGGCACCCGCCTCCTCATAAGAAGAAATTTTAGAAGTCACCATATATATATACATACATACTTATACATATATTAATATGTTCATATATACATATATACATATATATATATATACATATGCACATATACATTATATACATATATGTATATATATTCATTTATTTATTCATTTATGTAGTCATATTGGTTCCCCACCCTCGGTGTGAGGGTGTTATATTTTAAGCTCAACTCTCCTCCTCGCCCGGAATCCGTCTCCTCGCCCGGTCTACTCCTCTGGAGTGCCCAACCCCAAAGTGTCCCTGGAGTGCCCAATCCCTAGAGTGCCCAACACCAGAGTTTTTCCTGGGCCCAAGCCCAAAGTGTTTTTCAGCCAGAGTCTGCCTGCAGTGCCCAACAGCCCCACGGTGTCCCGGAGTGCCCAGCCCCAGAGTGTCCCTGGAGTGCCCAACCCCAGAGTATCTCTACCAAGAAAGGGTGGGGATGTTCGAAGCAAAATAATGTATTTATTTATTTCGTGCAGTGAGGGCCCTCCTGCGTGTCATCGGTAGCCGGTTCTTTGCGCAGTGTCGAACTCAACGGGGTTTGTTACCCATCATGAAGGCCTCTATGCGGTTTAGGGTTTAGGGTGTATACGGTTTAGGGTTTAGGGCTCGGTACTGTTCGGGTCTACCAATCTAATGAGGGTCTGCCGCTGATTGAAGAATAATGTGCAAGAGCCCGTATACGCCGAACTCCCAGCTGCCTCAGCCTTTCAGATCTTAATCGGCGCGTGAGAGGGAATGTGTCCAAAAGGCACAAAAGAAAGTCAAAGGGGCCCCGAGGTCGTAGGTGGTGCGATTCAGCTTCGAATGTTGAGTTGTTCTTGCGGTTGAGGGGGTAAAGGGGTTTCTTGGCCTTGTGTGTGGTAGGGTCCTAGTGAGAACGTTTTGTTGGATTCCTGCCATGAAGCGCGTGGTCGTCACCGGCGGAAATTCGGGCATCGGCTTGGCTTTGTGTAGCTCGGCCTTGGCATTTAGGGTTTAGGGTTCAGGGTTCAGGGTTTTGGGTTTAGGGTTTAGGGTTCGGGGTTTAGGGTTTAGGGTTTAGGGTTTAGGGTTTAGGGTTTAGGGTTTAGGGTTTAGGGTTTAGGGAACCTACTTGTACTATTTGCTTCTAAGAACCCAAGAAAGTAGCTGAGGCACAGCTGAATGTCACAGTCAGGCACCATGACATAAGTGAAGCACTAAACCCTAAACCCTAAACCCTCAACCCCCAACCCTCAACCCTCAACCCTCAACCCTAAACCCTAAACCCTAAACCCTAATCCAGCATCAGTTGCAACTCTCTTGTTTTCAGCGCTCAATGAAAGCGAGCTTCGCTAGGACCCACACTGCGCCTTTACGCCTAGACCCGAGAGTTATATTCCCCAAAGGATCCAATGTAGTTCCTTTTTGGGTTAGTTATAGGGGATTTTTGTATGCTACCCCAAAAAGGTACCACATAGGAGCCTTTGGGTATAGTAAATGGGGAGTATTCAATAGGGGGGGGTTAATATTAGGGAGAGGGGATTTGAGCTTGGGGCTTAGAGAGTTTAGGATGTGCAGGTCTAGGGTTTTTAAGATCGGATGAAGGGTTGGTAGGGTTGGGAACGAGAACCAAAAGACAAGCCCTAAACCCTAATCCCCAAACCCTGAGCCCCCAACAACTCCAAAGGTAGGTTCCCTTTGTCGTAAGGATGCCCCCCTTTCAAGGGGGGCCTCTCTTTCTCGTTTCCCCATGACCCCTACTTAAAGGAGCCATGGAACCCTAAACCCTAAACCCTAAACCCTAAACCCTAAACCCCAAACCCTAAACCCTAAACCCTAAACAAGGCCCTAAACCCAAATCCCGCCCCCCCCCGCCCTCCTCCCAGCATGGGTTCAGGTACCTAAGACTCAGGCCGAGGCAGTCCCCTGATTCCCTTTTTTAAGGGTTTAGGGTTGAGGGCTTAGGGCTTAGGGTCGCAGCCTCTCTAAGCCAAAGAAGGGGCACCCTGCTTTCATCCTAAGTCTAGGTACGTTCCGGAATGTAAGCTACCGCGGCTTATACCCTACACCCTAAACCCTGTAAACCCTACAAACCCTATACACCCTATAAGCCCTAGAAGCCCTATTATCCCTACAAACCAAATCAACCCTATAAGCCCCATAAACCCGACAAATCCTGTCAACCCTAAACCCTAAACCCTAAACCCTCTAAACCCTGTAAACCCTGTAAACCCTGTAAACCCTACAAACCCAAACCTAAACTCGCAAGTTTCCCAAGTCAGCCTTTCTGAAGGTAAGCAGTTGGCCCAGGAGGACGGCTGCTACGCAGCCGGGCTGCAGCGAGGGTGTAGGGTTTAGGGTGCAGGGCTTTGGGTTTTGGGTTTTGGGTTTTGGGGTTTTGGGTTTAGGGCTTTTGGGGTTTAGGTTTCAGGGTTCAGGGTGCAGGGTTTAGGGTTTTGGTTTAGGCTTGTTGGAGTCGAGGGTTCATAGGGCTAAGGTTACAGAGTTTAGGGTTTCTTGTGTTTGGGGTTTGTGGGGTTTGGGGTTTATCGGGTTCAGGTTTCATAGGGCTTAGGATTCAGGGATTTTTGGATTTTGGGTTGAGAGTGTATGGGGGTGCAGGGTTTACATAGGGTTTAGGGGGTTTGGGGCTGATGTAAGGCACACTTCGACATGAGGCTTACGAGATCCGGGCTAAGCAGAGGTAAGCCTAAGTAGGCCACGCAAGCCGAAGCCCGAAAAGCGGCATGTGAACCAGTTAATCGGAGGGGACAAAAAGCAGCGCCGGCTATCGCAACATGGTTCCGGCACGGGCATTCACTCTCGAACCTTGGCAGAGGACTATTGCTCCAGATATCGAACCATATGTGGAACTCTCTCGAGACGAGATTGCCCGCGAGACGAGCAACTATCGCTTGGGAGGCCACAAACAATGGCATCTAAAGAGAGATGCAGACGAGCGGTACAAGATCAAGGCTCGCGACGCTGATCTCCCTATAAACTCCAAAAAACCTATCTAGTCCAAAAAGATCAGCCCTGAACCCTCAACCCTAGCCCTGACCCTAAACTCTATGGGGGTGTATTGAGTCCAAAAGCTTGGGCTTTTCTAGGAAGCGGTACGGACCCTCCTGCAGGCATTAAGGCCACGAAAGACCACTACAAAGCCTTAAGCTCCACAAAAGCCTTGGGATTTAAGACTTAAACGCAGGGTCTATAGGGTTTAGGGTTTAGGGTTTAGTGCTTCCTTATTCAGCCCTAACGCTGAACCCCCCGGGGAAGAACGCTCAGCTTGCAAAGGTCTATCTCGGCTCACGGAGTGTGGAGAAGGGCGAGAAGGCCCGGTTTTTCATGGGTTCCCTTACTGCCCACCCCCTTGAATAACTAGAGTTTGGGGTTTAGGGTTTAGGGTTTAGGGCTAGGTTCCCCCCCCCCGCCCCCCCCGAAATAGCCTTAAAATGGCTTGATTTTCCCCAAATTGCCTTAATTATGGGGGGGAACCTAAGGGGGGAGGTAGCACGGAGTGTGGAGAAGGGTGAGCAGGCCCGGATTTTCCAAGCAAGGTCCTCAACCGCGCATCCTACGAAATGGGTTTAGGGTTTAGGGTTTGGGGCTTACTGTTTGGGGTTTAAGGCGTGGGTGTTCCACAAGGGTCCAGTGGTGCTCCTGCCCTTTTTGGGCTTTGGTATCCTTTATACAAGTAACCTGAACCCCAAAGGGTACCCTTACTCTAATAGGGTGAGCAAATGGGTTTGTTAAACCCCCTAACCCCTAAACCCCCCCCTTTCCCCCCGGCCTCCCTGTCAGCCCTATACACCTACTCTAAACCCCGAAGAATCCTTAGCTCCTCAACCCTAAATCCTCCCCTCCCCCCCCCTCCCCCCTAATTGCACCCTACATCCCTGAATCAGAAGTCTCTTAAGCTGGGTTTAGGGTGGAGGGGTTAAGCCTCCCAAGCGCATTGGGCTACAAGCGCCCTAAACCCTCCAAAGCCCAATGCGGGGCTGAGGGTTGAAGGTTACACGCCCCTAACGCGCCCCTGACGCCCCTGACGCCCCTAACGCCCCTAAACCCCTAAGCCCCCCATAACCCCCCTAAACCCTAAACCCTAAACCTTTTAAGCCCCTAAGTCGTCACAGAGACCACCAGGCTCTGGCCTCGATCGTCGCCTCTGCGCCGGAGTGCAAGGGAAAGGCTGGAGATTGGTTTATAGGGTTTATAGGGTGGTTTATAGGGTTTATAGGGTTTATAGGGCTTATAGGGCTTATAGGATTTATAGGGTTTATAGGGTTGATAGCGTTTATACGGTTTATAGGGTTTATAGGTTTTATAGGGTTTATAGGGTTTAGGGTCTAGGGTTTATAAGCCCTAAACCCGAAACCCTAAACCCCAAACCCGACATACTCCTGAGGTGGAGGTGCTCCAGGTCGACACCTCCTCGGATGCCTCGGTGGGCAAGGCAGCTGAGGCAGTGAAGGCCGCGAGGAGGGGGGGAATGGGAGGGGTTTAGGGTTTAGGGTTTCGGGTTTCGGCGCTAGGGTTTGGGGTTTAGGGTTTAGGGTTTAGGGTTGAGGGTGTATGCGAAAGGGCATTCAGCAGCTTGTGTTTTTAGTCGGGCCCTTTGCACAGGCTTGCCTTATTTGTTTGCACCCCCCATCTTCGCAAGCTATGGTCAGCATCGGATTGTGCGTGCTTAAAGCAAGGGGCGGCCTCCATTTGAGGTGCCTCTTCAATTCTTCCGTGAAAAGGGAGTGACTGCCTTCAACTTGTACCCAAGCAATCCAGGGGGCTTGCAGTGCGGA